TGGGGCAGATTTATTTACTTAGAGGGGCACTGACTGAAATCATTCCCAGCATATCATGCCTGCAGCTTGCATGTGGTAAGCAAGCAGGAAGTACAGAAGCTCAATGACTTGCTATGTTTTGTGTTTGAATGTCTGCCCAAAGCCTCATGCGGTCATGGAGGGCAGACCATTTGAAGGCAGCTGACTCTAGCATTTGTGATTGGTTTATCGTCTAGTGGGTCTGGTAGACAGCCTAATGGTGCTAACTTTAAGATTTCAACAAATATCCAGCCACAGAAAATCATTGCTTTTGGCTTGCAGTTGTTACTGACAATCTTCATGTTGTCACTCTGTTTCTGTATTCTCCAATTTTGACAATTAAATTGTGGACATCTCAGAATATTTTCATCAGGCAATGAAGAGAATGACTGGAAATAGACAAAAAATGTTACTGAATGTATGGCACCACTGGAAAAGAAGATTTACATTTTTGTCTTTAAACTGGGAACCATAAGATGATGAATGTGAAAATCTCATCAGGATTTGTAATTGGATGCAGCAGGGGAATCACCATTCACAAACTATTAAGTTTTATTGAAAAGAGAATATTAAAAAAGTAAACAAATTTCTGACCAATGGCTGAATCACATTAATGAGTGTTATATGTAAACAAATTTTTAAAAAAATATAAATATGTGCCAGAAACAAGTACATATAATCAGAAAATGGGTGTCTGTTATGTAAAGGGGGAAAACAAAATCAGAGTGTTTTTCCACATGTGGCCACAAGAGAGGGGAAGTGCACAACTGAGATGGCAGAGAGGGCTCTGCAGATGTCTAGAAAAGTCCTGGAGTCCTGGGTGATGCTGGATCACACTATTACTGTTTCATTGTCCCATTTCATAGCTTATCAACCAGTGCGGGGGGAAAACAGAACAGTGACTGAGTACCAGAAGGCAGTTTTATTGGGGACCCTCCCCAATGCTCTTCAAGCTGAATCACATTATGTTTTACTGTCTTTTAAGTAGAACCTCTGTGCCATGAGGAATATACATCAGAGAAGCTAAAAACCTTAGAAGAGTGCATCCACTCAGCACCTCCATATTCAGTGAAGCAGTTCACAGCCAGAATGACCTTGTTATTCACATTCTTGGATTCCCTGTGCTTTCCTCACCCAGTTAAGAATTTCTCTCTCAGATATCATATAGGAATGGGCCAGACTAATGTCATCTTAGTTCTCAGCCAATACAGTAGCTATAACAAACAGCTAAGGACCTGTTCTCACAGTTGTTTCTTGCAAACGTAACCTCATGAGCCAAACTGTGAAACCTCATGCTGGCTTTAGCCTGAGCAGTTGTAAGATGATTGATCACACCCTGCCCTCCACACTGGATGCAAATTACCCTCTGTGCCAGCCAGATTCCAAAACAACATATTTCTTGCCCATTTCTCTCTGGAACAAAAAGGTATGTGAGGGTTATTTGGTTGCCCTTCATTTGTCCATACACCAGTATTTTGCGGGACACCCAATGCTGGCTAAAAAATCTTGTTTGTGCTCACTCTCTGCCTGCATGGGTGATTTCTTGTGTTTTCTTCTCTACCATAACAGCATCACCAAACTTCATGGTTTCCTCAAATCTAACATGCTTCAACTTAAAAATTTATAGCAATTGTCTTATGTATTCTATCCCTAGGGAATCAGATCTTAAGGCCAGGCCCTGTGAGACCCAAAAATCTTACTGATGCTATGAGTTTGTTAGTTACTGAAACACTCACTTCACCTTCTGCTCAGTCACCACATTTCTTTGGAATGAATTTCCCATGTTTCCATGATTGGGTTTTCCAACCATGTGTGATTCCCTTAAAGTTTTCATTGTCTCTTCTCCAAACTTTTAAAATAAATTACATTCATCCTGTTGACTAAGACTCTGATCCCTCTGAGTACAACCCCAAATGTATGCCCATTACTCAGGCCAAATAGGTCTGTGGATATTATTTTACCCATATTCTTGTATCAGAGACATAATACAAGCCACTCATAATTTAAGGAACATAATTTTATTTTGGCTCACAAGTTTTAAAGGTTTCAGCTTATAGCCAGCTAGTTCCAAGAAAGCTCAGACTGACAGAGGAGAAACAGTCCATGGCATGACAGTCAGGAAATGGAAAGTCATCACTGGAGGTGGGAAGATATATGCTTCTAGACCACACCTCTAGTGACTTCTCCAATCAGGCTTCACCTCCTAAATCACATTTATCTATTGTGATCAGGGGTTGCAAGGAGAAGAAATACATACAGGACAGATAATTTGTAGTATTTTATTGTGATCACCCACAGTTTAATACAAGAAAGTGCAAGAAATATGTTCAGAACAGTAAAGACCCAAGGGAATGTAGCTGAGACCCTAAATCCCACAGCAATGAATCCAGCTAAAGACATAGAGCTATGAAAATGCCTTCCATGAGAGCAACTAGAGTCCTAGAGCCCACAACAATGACTCATAAAAGTTCATTTAAGCTATCTGCGCTGGGAAGGCTCAAAAGTCAGAGGTGTAACTAGGAAGTCTATGAGGGTAAAGGGTAAAGATTCTCTACTGAGCCAAGAAGTGATGCTCAAAATAAAGACCAGGGCTCCCTCGAAAAGTATCACAGACATCCTCAGCGAGAGTGAGGTCCTAAGCTCCTCCACCAAGGGGAACAGCCACATATATGTCAGGTAGGACATGTCAGGACAAACTTCTGTACGTTAAAGAGCACACATCATCCCCTTCAGATCCAAAATGTGATGCTCAACATAAAGACAAGTGCACCCCCAAAGTGAACTGCAGGCACACTCAAAAACAAGGTCCTGAGCTTCTCTGGTAATACCGGCCAATTTCATGTCAGGAGAGCAAGCATGACAAGGTTCTTCAGGAGAATCAATACTCAAAACTACAGTACTCACTCAGAAGGACCCACAATGTTTATGCTTCCTCTCCACATCTCCTTTTGTGATGGTAACTTTTCTCAGGTGGGCCATCTACACTGATTCAGTTCTGCAGATCTTAAGTTGATCACCAGTTTATAATCTACAACAGCTATAAACTGAACTGTAGCAGCAGGGACACTGCAACAATTGATCCCCTTAGAAATAAACGTTCATGTAGTATCACTGCTGCTATTTGTCTAAGTCAACTGCTGCTATTTGTCTAAGTCATAGTTTGGACAAGCACCAACCCACAGGTTATTGACCAGAATCACTTCTCTAAAATGATCTGTACAAACAACAGGTACACACATTGAGAAAGAAGAATATCTTTACATTTAATATTTAAAACAGAAAGCTCTTCTCCATGTATTTCATTTGTTTTTTAGGTTTTGCAATGCTGTAGAACCCAGAGTACTTACACGGTGGAAAATCCCAAGTTTTTAGCATACTTTGTTTTTTTAAAGGTACTAGATTATATTGCGAATCTAACAATGTGAGATTCTTCTGTACTAGTTTCTTCAGGGCATTTATTGTGAAAGAATGCATAACTTTGTTAGAGGATTTTGTCATACATATTGAGATTATCAGATGGCTTTTGTTGTTTCCTTATGTTTTTGCATTTCTGATATTTATTTTTTTTCTGAAGAATCATCTTTAGTCCTTGAATGGAACTAGATTGATCATATTCTATAGTTTTTGAATGTGTTAATTAACATTTTCTGAATTTACTGCAAACTTTAAATTAAAGTTTGGTTCATTGTTTTCTTTTTTGTTGAGTTGCTTTCTGGTTTTGAGATCAAGATGATATTGGATTTTTGGGATGGAATGTGCAGCATTCCTTATATTTCGATTTCATGCAGCACACTGAGGAGCACCTGTTTGATTTTAAAGATATGCTGAACTGCATCAAACTGAGTATCAGCATGGGTGTTTGCTGAGTCACTGATAAGAAGTGATTGTTCCACCCAGGAAATACAAAAAAAAAAAAAAAATAGGGGATTCTGCTTTGCTCTCCAGGCCACTCAAACTGTGGGATGCTTCTCAACATGGCTCCAGCACCTGCAGCATGTGGGTCTTTAGGGAAATGTCTGCAGTGTTTACCATTCCAGCTTGGTAAGTAGCATTCATTTCTCTGTCACTCTTGTTCCACACAGTCTGTGTGTCTGGTAGTTTTGTCTGCTATCTTGGATCACATTAACATTCTCTTCTTTAACGCCAAATTAAAAAGCACCATCATCAATAAACTGCCCCTCGTTCAATGTTGATGCTTTGTGCTTTCATTATTTTGCTTTTTAACAGAAATATCAGTAATTCTGAGATTTCAAATGTTTGCAGACTTTTCTTCTGCTTCATTCCACGCTTTCTTGTGTCTGTCTATATTACCAGACTCTCACATATCTGCTTCTTTATATGAAGCAGCTGAAACAATCTGTGTGATTTGATTTCCTACAGTACCCCAGGATGACATGGTCTGAGAGTAAAATATCTTGTAATACATGGGAGTAAAGTGCAGAGGTAAACAGAAACCAAATTTTAGTGATTCACAAGAGTCACTGGAATTTTAAAAACTTCATCCTTAGATTTTGTTTAGTTTCAATACTATCTTCTGCTGTTCATTGTGCTTTAACTTAATGGTTCTAGTGATTATAAATCATGGAAATGCAATGTATTATTCCTTATTGCATTCCTGAAGAGTTCTGCTGAAAAGTCTTTGTAGCAAAAATGTCAGGGAACCTTAGGGTGGGGAACATTTCTGCTTTTCATATTAATGTCAGGTATGACAAACAGGGAATCTAAAGCTTCTTTTGTCTTTCTATGACTGCACTGTGTCTAATAGGTATTGTATTGTATGGGAAGGTAAGGATCTAAGAGAGAAAAACAACATGGTACTCAAAGGAAAAGCAGCCCAATTTTGTCCTCATATCAAATGTGAGAAAATACAAACCACAAACAAATATATACCAGTGTGGTATCACTGGGGACACGTGTGATCACCAAAGCCATGCTGAGCTACTAAGCTGAGCCAGTATTGCAGCTGTGTCCATCCATAAAACCCTGCTGATTTGCATGTCCCAGGAGTACAGCCCATAGCCTTCAAAAATTTTTAATAGGCTGCTCACACCCTAGGCAGGAGTCAATCCCAGTCAGGACACAGCATGGACATGAGGGTCCTCACTCAGCTTCTGGGGCTCCTGCTGCTCTGGCTACCAGGTAAGCATGGGCAGCACTGGGAATTTCCTCAGCACTGTATGGTCAGAGTCACCTGTTGCTTTAAGGAAGTTCTTAGTTACTGTGATTAATGATTTAAATATTTGTTTTTGTCTCTCCATTGTCAGGTGGCCAATGTGACATCCAGTTGACCCAGTCTCCCTCTGTGTCTGCGTCTTTAGGAGAGAAAGTCACCATGACTTGCAAAGCCAGCCAGGGTATTAGCAATTACTTACACTGGTATCAGCAGAAACCTGGCCAAACTCCTAAACTCTTAATCCGTTATGCAACCACTTTGCAGTCTGGTATCCCCTCCAGGTTCAGTGGCAGTGGATCTGGGACAGATTTCACTCTTGCCATCAGCAGCCTGCAGCCTGAAGATGTTGCGACCTATTACTGTCAGCAGAGTAGCAATTTGCCTCCCACAGTGATGCAAACCATAACAAAAACTTCTCAGAGAAGCAGAAGTGTGAAACCAGGCTGCCCCTGTGTCTCTATCTTGTGACCTCATCTTATCTGACTGTTTCCTCAAATGCAGCCAGGATTTGAAAACAACTTGAGGATTTTAGAAAAAAAAAACTTCAGATCCAACCACAGAGACTTCAGGATGTCCATTCTCAGTTAATAAAGGACACAAATCGCTACTTTAGGAGTCTGGACTGGAGCAAGTGTTGAGATTCATACAACAAAAGGCAAGTAACAGAAGCTATTTCAAGCCAAAATATTCAATGAAATGCACATAAAATTAGAATGTTAAATTTCTTTAAATAAATAGAAGTATGATAGGAAGGAAACAAACCACAAAACACAGAATGAGTTGGATGTTGTAGCACTTGCCTGTAATCATAGCAGTTGAGGTAAGGTGATTGTCATTAAATAGAAACTAGGTTTGGGCTAACTAACAACTCTAAGACCAGCCTGAGTTACATAGTAAGCAACTCTTTAAAAAATAAAGCAAAACAAACAAACAATACAGCAATGGCCACAGGAAAATTAGTTTCTAGAAATGATTGATCTTATTGTTCTACTTCAGACATAAAAGAATAACTTCAATAGAAATTCTAAGCAGAAATTCTTTTAGTAAATGCAATTAGAATATAGACCACAACTTGTGAAAGTTCACGTTTTACAGTGATTAGAAAAGCAGATGCTGGCAGCACAAGATCCTCTGATGTTCCCCTTGAAGCCAGAGCACATCCACCACTGACTTTAAGGTCCTGCCAACCATAAGGTCCTCAGATGTGTCTTGAATATCTAGCTATGGAAGTGCTGGTGTTCTCTGCAGCCTATATTGCAGCCACCCAGGTGATTCTCTACACACCTTTCTCCCTGAAGGTGTATACACATTATGTAGCAACATCTTCTTTCAGCTGTAAGTCTCAGAAGCCCTTCTTTGACAATTTCCATGGAAAAAGGATTTGAAAAAATTAGTTAAAGAAATCAGAATCAGAAGTGATATTGAATATAGGAAAATTGTGTATCTCATAATCCCTTTGTATTCTCAATAATTTCTCCAGCACAGAATTTTTTCAGGTAAATAACAGCTCCATCATACTTTACCCATGCTTTGAATTTAAATCAGAATATTGTGGTCACAACAAGAATGCCTCCTAAAATCATAGTATAACAAAAAGGCAAGAATTTGTATGACATGTCAAAGACTCACTGGACAAAGCACAGCTGTCTTTAAAAAAAAAAAAAACTGTCATGGTTTATGTTTGTGGACCCCCAGGCCTCATGAGTTTGCATTGTGCATTTGTGATGCTTCATTGTCTAGTACTTGGACTGATGGTGTCAGTGCTCCACCCACAGAGGGGTGGAGCCAGGATGTGATGTAATGGCAGGAAGAAGGTTTGTCTTGCTCTTTGCTGGTTCCTGTTTGCTTTTTCAGCCACCATGAGCTGCGGCCCAGCCATGCCCACCTGCGGTGGAGCCAAATAAGTGTGGACTGAAACGCCCCAAAACTGTAAGAAATAAACCTTTCCTTCCCAACTTTGGGTTTCAGGTATTTTGTCTCAGCAATCAGTAAAAAGTAACTAAGACGGAATTTGGTACCGAGGAGTCAGGTCGTTTGCTGTTACTATATCTCACCATTTTTTTCGAGCAGCTTTGGAAATGGCTTGTGGGCAGAGTTTGAAAAGGTCCGGACATGTTGCCTGAATGCATGGAGCTGCAGCAGCTTAGGCTATTCTGTAGAGGAGATTCTGGTCAGAGCTCAGGAAACCAAAAGGCTGATAGAAAGCCTCAAGGTAAAGACCAGGCATAGGGGGTTTCTGCTGTGAAGAAGGACTGCATTGGTTGTTAGACTCCCCATGATGTGTGTTATGGCTTGGCAGAAAGTTAGTCTGCATTTTGCTCCTGCCTAGAGATTTTGCCTGAGACTGAGACAAAGGACAATGGACTGATTAATCTTGAAAAAAATTAAAAAGCAATCAAACATTGAGGCTGTGGCATGGCTATTGGTAGGGGCTTTCAGCCAGCTTTATGTTTCAAATCAAGAGCAAAGTGCCCAGCAGGATAATTTACAATGCTGTGAGTTTGGCCAGAAGAAAAATTCCAGGAAGGCTGTGGATTGTAAAGACAGAGCTGAGATTTTGATTGTTGATGGGAAACAGAGAAATTAAGAAAGATGGCCCCAGGGCATCCCAAAAAGCAGGTCCCCAACCTTGGCAGCCTCATGGCAAAGGTGAAAGAATTTATTCAGAAGAGAACACTGCAGAGCACCATGCTCCAGAATTGGGACAGAGGCCACATGAGGTTCTAGAATGGCGGCACTGTAGAGAAGCTTTTTCTCACAATGAGGCAAACAGAGCCCTGCAATCCAAGCAAATGACCCCTACAGCCAAGAGAGAGAAAAGCCTGGCTACTGCTTCAGCTTGTAGCAGACCTTGGCAGCATCCACATGGTGCTGATTTTAGGTGCAAGGAAAATGCACAAATTCTGAGGGTAAGAGGGCTTCCACCTCGATTGCAAAAGGCCTGGCAGGCCAAGCAGTGTGCCCCTGAGAGGAGATTTTGTGAAGATGTAAAGGTGAAGCCAAAGGTGCAGTGGAGACCCCAAAAGTTTGGAAAAGCCAGAAATGTGGATGATCCAAGGAAAGCTCCAAAAAGCAAGCAGAGAAGATTTAAGAGAAAAGCTGCAGGAGTTGAAATCACTGGAAGTGCCATGGGGGTGGAATCACCCAAGCCTTTTGGAGCTTGCAACCAGATTGCTTCAGATGCTGAGCATGGAACTCTGGGACTTAATGTTTGCCCTGCTGGATGTTGGGCTTGCTTTGTTTTCAATGTTTTACATTTTCCTGTTTGTCACCTTTGGAATGGTAATGTTTATCTTGTGCCTTTGCATTTCAGAAATATTTAACCTTGTTTCATTTGTACAGGTGGTTACAGTTAAGAGTTTGCCATAGATCTTGGATGAGACTTGGGACTTGGACTTTTCAGCAATGCTGAAGGTGTTAGGGCTTTGGCAACTCTTGGTAGTGGACTAAATGTCTTTTTTTTAAAGGATGTACATGTGTCCTGGGGGCCAAGTGTGGAATGTCATGGTTTATGTATGTGCCCCCCCAAGCCTCATGAGTTTGCATTGTTCATTTGTGATGGTTCATTGTATAGTGCTTGGATTAATGGTGTCAGTGCTCCACACAAATAGGGGTGGGGCCAGGATGTGATGTAATGGCAGGAAGAAGGTGTACCTTGCTCTTTGATGGTTCCAGCTTGTCCAGAATTTAAAAACATCATGAGGATGTGTGAGATTTTACACAAGCCAAGTTTCAGAATCACATTAGAAGTCCTGAATGACAATCTGCATATTAAACATGATGTGTGGGATGATTAAGAAACTATTTGTAAAAGTTCATTTCAATTAATGAAAATATTTTTAAGCTCAGTGAATCACTTGATATACATTCCTATTTAAAGTCTTATTACTTAATGCACTATACTTTTCTTTTTGTTGTTGCTATAACAAAATATTTAAAGAGTACATTATAAAGAAAATAGTGATAAGAAAGTAGATGTTATGGGTATCTAAGCTAGAAATATAGCACAGGACACAAAGCAAAAACAGGCTGAATTTAACTTCAGACAAAGGAGATAAAATACAAACTACAAACAAACGAGTATGGTCTCATGTGGGACACCTGGGATCACCGTTCTTGTACTACTGACTGAGATGAGCCCATTTGGCAGCTGTGCCCAGTCCTGCCCAGCCCAATTGATTTGCACAGAGCACAGCCCACGCACTGGGAACTTCTTCATAGGCTGCTCACACCCTGTGCAGGACTCAGTCCCAGTCAGGACATAGCATGTACATGAGGGTCCTTGCTCAGCTCCTGGGGCTCCTGCTCCTCTGGCTCCCAGGTAAGGATGGGCAGCACTGAGGATATACTCATCACTGTATGAAGACAACCACCTGATTCTTTAGGGAAGTTCTTTTCTCACGTGATTAAAGATGTAAGTATTTGTGTTTATATTTCCACTGTCATGTGGCAGATGTGATATCCATTTGACCTAGTCTCCATCTGTGCCTGCATCTTTAGGACAGACAGTTGCCATCACTTGCCAAGCCAGCCAGAGTATTGGCAATAAGTTAACATGATATCAGCAGAAAACTGGGGAAGCTCCTAAGCTTCTTATCTACTATGCAACCAGGTTACAGACTGGTGTCCCTTCAAGGTTCAGCAGCAGTGGGTCTGGGACAGATTACATTCTTACCATCAGAAGCCTGCAGCCTGAAGATGTGGGGATGTATCACTGTCAGCAGTATTATAGTTCTCCCACAGTGACGCAATCCACAACATAAACTTCTCAGAGATGCAGAAGTGTGAACTGAGCCACCCCAGCTTCTCATATTGATCTGATGCCTGCATCTGATAAGTGTGTTTCTCAGGTAAAGCCAGAAACTGAAGGTCAGTCAAAGGTCTTAGAGAAGGGAACAGCCTGAGTCCTTGAATCTTACCTCTGTTTTCTCCTCCTAGCTCTAGCAACACTGATACATTATTACAGTATCTGGCAAGGGAATATCTGGCAAGGGAAATCTTCTCTCAGACTGCACCTCTCCTAATTTAATAAAGTAAAAATTAATTACATTTTAAAAGTATGGAGATTCATAAAGCAAAAGGCAATCATTAGTATCTTTTGCAAGCATAATATAAGGCAAAATACATAGGATGAGAATTTGAATTCTTTTCAATAACCAAAAGTGTGGTAAGGAAAGAGATATTTAAAAAAAGCAAAACACAAAGCAATGAACTGGACATTGTGGAATTTGCCTGTAATTATAGGGGTAGGACGGTGGAGGCAAGATGACTGCAAATATGCACAGGTAGCTTTCGGCTGCATAAAGATTTTAAAGTCATCCTGATTTACATGGAATGACCACGTCTCAGAAATGAAACAAAACAACTTCAAAAACAAACAAACAAACAAAAAGCACAGCAACAACAACTAAAATATTTTCTAAAAATTAGTGATTCTGAATTTTCAGCAGCTCAAGAAAACTTGCATTATA